AAAAGGACTCGTCCAAGCAGTCACTGCAGAGTTGGTAACGACTGAGCGCAGATTAAAAAAATATATATATATTTGTCTAGGTCTGTAAATGTTCCCTGAATGCTTCCTGATGTCAATATAGTAGTTAGGAGACTTCAAATCTGTATCAGCCTTGAATTTAGAAGTCCCTATTAAATTTCAGCATAGCAAAGAACTCACTGTGGGCTTTAAGTAAGTTAGTCCCAGCTTCCACTCTATAAGAATAGGAAGTAGGGACAATAATTTACATTGCAGGACTGTTCTAGAGGTGATAATATATATAAAGAAAAACCAAAATGCTACACACCTGCTAATTGTAGGAAATACATTAATTAGATGGAGTTAAGTCTCCCTAAAAGAATTTGCTCTTCCAGTTCTCACCGGATGAAGTGCTTGCGGTTCAAGCGACAAAACATGATAAAGCCATTCACACATTTCTTCTTTAGCTGTAGAGGAGATGAGCTGCTGCGTTTCTCACAGGCCACTGGTCGGCGCCTCTGTCTCCTACCCACTTTCTTCTTCTTCTGAGAGGGTCCCTGCGATGACTTTGCCCTCTTGCATGGTGTCCAGGTGCTGTCACTGTTCTCATCACTGGAGGATACAGGACATTCTGATCTGATGAGAGGAGCCTCCTGAAAGGGTAAGATGGACTCAATGCAAAAAGAGGCACATGAAATTGTAACTGATGTCAAATAATTGTCTGGATAAGAAAGGTTATAATATAGAACTAGCTCTAACTTGAATATAACTTGTCACCTGACCCCTAGTTAAATTACCGATACAATAATTTAATTTAATGGAAAAATATTATATTGTATAAATATACAGGAGAAAGCATATACTGATCTAGTATCTGGCGTTGTAATGACCTTGAATGTTAATTTCTATAGGGAATCACAGACCTTCCCACCAACATATTATTCTCACAAAACCTCCTTGAAGTATGAACAAATACACACATGTACTAAAATGATAAACATATCTTATCTTAATTGCTACACTAACATGAGTGAGTGACTATGTTGTTTAATTAGCATTTTCTGCCCCACTGGAGACATGCAGAATTCAGTCTCTTAGACAGCATCACATTCCTCCCATTTATTTTAACAAAGTTTCACTAATCCTACTGACTTTTAATAAAACCTCAGACTAAATACACACATAGGAGAGAAAGTTAACATATCACAGAATAATCAAGCTCTTAAGTTGAATAGAATACATAGTACCAACAGTGTTGTAAGTTAGAAGGTTTTACATATTTTTTATGTTTATAGTCGGTTACGACCCCCCCCCCCCCCGCCATCTGTAAAAGAATTTTAAAAATGAGTTGTAAAATGAGCCCTGCTGGATGATCGGATCATAGGCCTATCAGTTCTATGGGGTTTTGCAATAATGTTTTGTAATACAGGTAGTCCCTGGGTTAAGAATGCCTGGTTTAAGGACAAACCACAGTTAAGAACGGAGCCTATTATAACAAAATTCGAGTTAAATACACAATGATTTGAGTTAATTAATTACACAATGCTATTTATACAGTATTATACAATAATACTGCTCTGGTTTACATACAAATTTGACTTAAGGACAGACCTTGGGAACGGAACTTGTTCTTAAACTGGGGACTCCCTGTAATCTTATACTGCTTTCTTTATTTGTTGACCACTATGAGTATCATCCATTGGTGGAATGGCAGAATATAAACCCAATAAGCAGGAAATGAGAACAGTAGTTCTTCCTATAGGCTCAGCAATTCACTGGGATGGTGACTGTAGCTATGAAATAAGGAGATGTCTGCTACTTGGAAGAAACACTATGACAAATGTAGACAAAATGTTAACGTGCTTAGAATCATACTCAAAACAAAGTATATATTATCAAGGTTAAAGTTTTCCCAGTTTATATGAGTGTGGAATTTGGATCAGCACAAAGGATCAACAAAGAAAAATGTATGCTTTTGAACTATGGTGCTGGAGAAAACTGTTGAGCAAGAAGAATAAATAATTCAGTATTAAATTATTAAAAGTATTAAAAGAGTATTAGAAGTAAGAGTATTAAAAGCAGACACACTGGAAGCACAAAAAATGAGACTGAAGCTCAAATATTTTGGACACATGATGCAAAGGCAGGAGTTGCTAGAGAAGACACTAATGTTTGGAGGAATTGACCACAGTGGAAAAAAGGGCTGATAGAGGACAAGGTGGTTAGACAATCTAGCTAAAGCCAAACTTTACAAAAATTCAGAGACAGTTACTGACAGACATTCCTGGCAAAGTCATGTCCATTTGGTCATGAAGAGTCAAAAGTGATCGAAAGACTGGGCAATGACAACATCTGTTGATCCTAACTACTGATATTCAGGCTCACGGTGCTGCCTCTGATCCTGGAAGCAATACACTACTGATTTATAGCTACTTATAGATTGTCAATTAATTTCTTTAGTTCTGTTTTAAAGCCATGGTAATACAGGTGACAATGACTACACTTGGACAGAAAAATATATAGTTTAAATATAAGGATAGGCTTTAATAAGGAAATTAGAAGGTTCCATGACCTGATTCCTCTGGCTCACAAATTACAGTACCACGTCCAGTTCCATTACCCACAATCCATTCCCCACCTCTTGGAATTGTTCGCTCCATGAGGATTCTATTTCATTCACTCTTGACACGGGGCTGGAATCGATTTTACCTGCTTCACTGTAGGAAAGGTAACAGTGATCCAGTGTGAATGCTGACTGCAAGAGATGAAGGAAGAAATCAGAGAGGGGTGGCATCGTAAATGGTATTAATGAGGATAGGTGAGGAAGGAAGAACAGAAAAGAATATTATGCTTCACATGTAAGATTTTATATGAATTATATAACAGTCATCAACACAAAACCCTGTCTAAAGTTCCATTCGATCTTATTTCCTTATAATTTAAACTGAAGTTAGTCTTGGATCAATTTAGCTGTGCATGATTTGCAAAGTTGTTAACAACTGTGACAGTATCTTAGTCTCAAAAGAGTTGCTCACTGAAACTTAGAAAGACAGGGCTATTAGGATAAAAATAAATAAATGTGCAGTTGGGCACTGCAAGAGCCACAGGGTCAGACCACTGAAGAAACTGCATACTGACCAAGATATTACGCACATCTTAGACCTCAAGGCAGCACATGGCTCCCACAGACTCACTAAAAGCTGTTACCGAATTGCTATACTAACTGTATTTTTCTTTGCTATTCTAGAATAATTTTCTCCTATGTCTCCTAATTTCTTTACCCTGCTGAGAGTGTGCCTCTGGCTTACCGTTCAAATGCCAAGTCTGGCCCTTAGACTAAAAGAAACCTGCATATTCTAGACATAGTCCAATGCCATCTACTGTAACTGACCAAGGGCCTTCAGAGAATTATCATTAGCTACCTTATACTGTAGCTGAAGACTACAAGGACATTACACAGTCTTCTGTATGCAAAACATCTGCTCCACCATTAAGCCATTCTTGCCTTCCCAGTCTGCTTTTAAGGCAAGTACATGTGTAAGCACTGTACATAAAATCTTTCACTGTGCAATTGCACAATGTATACAATTAGTCTTAACCCAAGTATGTAAACTGTCTCCACTGAAAAATACCCTATGTGAGTTAACAGTAGGAAACTGTGTTGTACAGTTATTCATTAACATTTACAAGTCAACATTTGATATTGCAATCAATTACAATGGGCGAGAGTGTGAGAGCCACCTCAGATGGACAGAAGTAGAACGGGCACCCAACAGAGCAGGCCGCCTTCTTCAATCTGTTGCTATTCATAACTCCTGAGAGCCAGCATCGGTAGCGGTTAAGGTGGTAGATTAGGAATCCCAGCTGAAGTCCAGTCTCAGCTACAGAAGCTCACTACCTGACTTTGTGCCAGTCACACACTCTCAACTCAATCTACTTTGCAGGTTATTGTGGTGGGGAAAAATAGGAGGAGGGAACACAGTGTACACTGCCTTGAGCTCCTCTGTGAAAGGGAGGATATAAATCTAGCAAATAAATAAAGAAATAACACGTATACCTGGAACTACACATCATGTTGCATGATGGAATTTGTAGTTCCATACTTCTGGAGAACACCAGGTTGGGAAAAGCTGGAATTCAGACTCTGCAAGCTGACTATATCTGAAACAGACGAATAGAAGATGAAGAGGGAAAATAATACATGAAGCTGAGTAGCAAAGTCCTTACCTTTCTCAGGAGTGTTCCAGAAGGGGTCTGAGAAAAACTGCTGGACTGAGGAGACAAATACACATCTTCGAATAATACTGCAGAGAAACAAAAAGTTTTCTGAAAGATCTTTTAAAGGTCATCTGCTTCCCTTCATCACATTTCAAGAGAAGGTTCACATGCACAAAAACTAACCAAGCAAGTTTTGTAATTTGCCCTTTGTTTCCCTTTTTAAATTCATTCAAATATCACATTTACTGGAAGGTAACACTCCTCCTTAAGGATCACCCTGCAGCTTTGCAGATATCTGCTTCCAGTGATTCACCATTCATAAGGCCTTGGTGTGCCCAGGGTTTAGTTCCCACAGAGGTTGCTGTCTGTAACAGACCAATAAGGATGGCAGCTTTAAAATATTCCACTTCCATGGAAACCTTTCTAAATCAATTTGTCCTGCTCATATTTAAAGAGGAAAACAAAGCAACTCAGGAGGAAAGGGGCCTGTGGGTACAGCCCCATCCCTTTTGGTACAAAACATGACAAGCTTTTGAAAAAGGCTGCCTATAAAACTGATCTCGCACAGGGTGAACATGCATCTAAGTATTCCCTCCCTCCTTTTTGCCAATTTACCTGGAGAAAGTTCCTCCTGAACACCTTGGAGAATGTGTGTGGGGAGGAGCCGAGCAGGAGAGGAGAAAAGCGAAGGGCTCAGCCCCAAATCAGAACAACTGTTGCTTTGGGTTCCAATCCCAGGGGAACGCAGCTGCATACTTCCTGTCACAGTATCAAATGAATAAAATGTACAGGATATTATTTATTTTAACATACTCATTTTTGGAAGAAGTTGAAAGTACTGAGGAACAACCCTGTTGGCAATACCTGTACCTCGCAGTAATATTTAGGTAGCAAGCCTCTTAACCATTAAATCATACCAAATTTCATAGAGTTTCATTCTTACTAAACTTGCTAGCTTGATCTCCACCAACCCTTCAGCAGTGCCTTTTTTCAAGCTATTTGTGAGCAACTTACTACTGGAGAATCCCAAAGGGGACTGGATGGAGAGCCAAGGATTGGCTTTGGGGCCTTCTTCCTCTTCTTCTTCACAAGAGGAATGATAATGCACTAGCTCCTGCCTGAAAATAATTGAGATGGTCATCAAGACAGTGAAGGAACAATATGATATTGTACAGGACTAAGAAGACAACAGAAAAAGGAATGGCTACAGATAATGTTTCCTATTTCAGGGGAACAAGATATCATTAATCTTTTAACGCTTGTGGCTGCTTTTGGTTTACAGAGGCTCCATTTGAACACCATCCTCAAAGCTTTTTCAGTTAGTTCACATTTATTTTCTCCCCAATCCTAAATTCTCCTCAAGCCACTTGTTATATAGTGAACATCATCTGTCTTGAATGCAGGCAGGCAAAGAGGTCTAATTTGTATTAATCTTATCTGATAACACTTGTGAAACAGCCAAGACACAGTCAAATGTAAGTGAGCAACTGAGGTCAGTAATAAGAGGTTTAAAAGATCTGTGTTTCATCTTCTCTAGAATGGAGATGCCATGCTTCTTGACTTTAAAAAGTCCTTGTCTGTTTTAAAAAGCCATGGACATTTTAAAAATGGTCTAATGCAAACCCAGTTTTACAAAATGTCAAATATCAACACTCAGCTCCTACCTCACCAATGTGTGTCCAGGCCCCTCGTTACATCGATGCAGCTTATTGTAAGCCATTTGTGCTACACACATAGAAAACACATTGTCATCCTTATATTCCTGGCTACCATCAAAATTCCAACCTGTCAATAACAGTTACAAGGACAGAGGAAAAAAATGGTTAAACCCTTCAGAATCCAATCCTATTCAATTTATACTTATATGAGTTATAAAAAGCAAGTTTTATTGTAAACAAAATAGGAATAGAATATAGAGAACAATTTGTGGTGATCTTTCCCCATGTTAAGAATTCCTTTCTGAAAATTGATAAAAGCCAGACCTGAATCCAGAAAGAAAAACAGACAGACTGACTGACTTACATGAGATGCTTATATATGCATGCATAGGTTAATATTTAATATAGATGAAACAATAACTCTGAAAAATAAGAAATGTCAAATATTCAGGGTGGATTTTTTTTAACAGACTCATTAAAGCTAGGATTTAGCAGACACTAGCAAGGATATTTCTGAACTATTGCATGCCATGAGTTTAACGAAAAAATCTATTTCAAGTAACCAAAAATATTTGCATCTTAATAGCAAGTTCTGTCTAAAAATACCCGGGGGGGGGGGCCTCCCAATTAAAATGATTTATTGAAAACTAGCAGAATATTTTTTCCCGCCCACTGCATAATTATTTGGAATTCACTGCCATTCCACATAGACATTAGTGACCTATATAAACATATGGAAAGGATATATTCATTGCCTGTTAGCAATTAGAGTAAAGCAACTTTTTCAGACACATGGCAGCATATAGCACTGAATGCCAGACACTGGTTAAACCATCAGGACTGCAAATATCCAATGACTGCTGATTGGCTATTGTGGGAAACAGAATGCTGGACTAAGCAAATTGTTGGTCTTATACAACAGAATTCCTTATGTTCAGACACCAATAATATTTTTTCCTTTGATGGAAACAGGCCTTCATTAACCTCTCTCATATTTCAAGTTATAAATGCTGTCTGACATAAAGGAGCAATTTATTCGCCACTGAATTTTTTACAAAGCAACAAAGAAATTAAACCTGCAGGATCAAATGGGACTCCAGCTTTGGTGATATCCAGATGTTTAGTGTTTGCAGGCTGGTTAGACTCTGGTAATGGAACTTTGAAATTGGGAAAGGAAGTTGATTGCTTCTGGAAGGATGAAAGAATAGAAGACACGTCTCCCACATCAGGCAGGTCCTCCTCCTCTGGGGGTGGGACAGTGTGGGCAAAGTCCTTTCCTGTCTCCAGAGCAAGGCACTTGCACACTTTCTTGCTCACACCTCGCCGGTCTACAAAACCAAGCAATACAAGCATGCTTGAGGAGTTGAACCTCAGGTCTGACAGTGATCTGCCTCATTTCAGCAGGAGCCTTAAGACAAGATGCTTCTACCCACGTTGCACCAAAACGTAAGAAAATCCTGCACCAAGTTTATCCATCTGCTGTGTCAATTTCCTTAGCTCCCACGTCCCTTATTTCCTTTTTTAACCTCCCCAGGAGTGCAAAAACCCACTTATCTAGTTTCTTTCTTGGCTGAGCCATGCAGCTACCGTACCTCCTCTCCAGACTGCCTCTCCATCAAAAAGCAACAAGTATATTGTGCCCTGCCCACAATCTGCCCCTGCCCTGTCATCAACCCAAGGCCCAAGTAGAGGAGAAGGAAATGTCTTAAACTACGAAAGTCATCAATGGATATGAGGCATGGGCTGTAACATACAGTACTGCAACGGCTTGTCATGCAGGAAGGAAGAAAAACCTACAAAGCATAACATACAGAAATATCAACCATAGAAACCCAAAGCTTGTGGAACGCTTCCCAAACCTGATTTGCGTGTCCGTCTCCTCTTTCTGGGTTTCTTGTAGACACCCAGGGGCTTGGGAATTTTTGCCCGTGGCGTGACTTCTCTGTGCTCTCTCTTCAGGGCAGATATCACCACCCGCTGAGATCCAACTGTTTTTACAAAAGAGAAAATAGGACAATCGTTTTTGCTCTATTATATCCTCTGCATCATCTGCCACCCTAACAGGTCTTGACTCTCTGTGTTTCTTATCACTCTACTTGTATCTCCTATTTCCATTTATCACTCTTCCAATATCCTTTGTAGAGTAATAGTACAGCCTCCAATCTATAACTGTATACATTCTCCCTTCCCTTGAACTCATTCCAGTAAAAGCTCAAATCATCCTGCTTCTATTCCCTAAATTGATTTGATGCCTCTCTTTCCACTCCCCTTTCCTCTTTGCTCTCATCACTCAGATTCTAAATCTGAAGGAAAAGTTGTGACTTTTATTTTTGTTTTATATAGAGTGATTAATTAAGGAGGTGCTCTAGAAATAATTATAATAATTTGAACATAATCATATATTAAAATATAATTTTACATATAAACACTCTGCAAGTGTATTTATTATTTACATTATACACCTCCAACCCAAAAGGCGTGCTTCCTTAATGGAAAAATTATTTGTGGAGAGGAGAACACAGAACATGGACAATGCTGTTTTGTAGCTGACTGGCAAATAAATGCATAAAAATGTTACTTCACAAAAGTATTTACTAGGTACTCTGTTCAGGTATATCTCATTACAGACGAGTTTTGTAACGATTTTTGCCTAGTCACCTGATGGCAATTTTTACTTACCCTAGATGAACAAGAAGTGAGCAACTTACAAACTTATAATTTATAGTACAGGTTACCTTGGTTTGCTCCTTGACTTTCCTTAGGCAACCTTCTAATTTCCCTACTGCACCTAGAATAATTTATGGGTCATATTATTTCAACTCTTTAGTATGCTTTTGCTTTTACTCCATGGGGCTCACACTGTTTAAGCCATGCTTCTTCTCTGGCTCTGTTCTGGCATTACACTACCTTTTTGCTCCCCGCCACGAACTTGTAGTAGTGATCTGGCTGTATCAATGCTTGCCTGCAGATGTTCAATGTAGCGAAGGACCCGGAGTAGGATTTCTTTCTGTTTAAAATTTAAAAATACAAAACTAAAGAGCAGAAACAGAAAAAGGAACATCTGCCATTTTTATTAATTACAGTTTGGAATCAGCACACACATTAAATCTGTTGTGCAACCAGGGCCAATTTCAGCTGTGTAGATCCAAAATTATAGAATGTTCCTTGAACATTTATGATAAATTCTATGATTACAATACCTTTGTCAACCTCTTACAACTAGTCCGCAATGGTATGGGCAACATCTGAGCCAATTCTTTAAGCGTGTTGGTGTAGTTATTGCGTTTTCTTCTGTTAAGAATAAAGAGAGAAGGAATGTTAGATATTTCTTACAAATGCACACACAGATTCTCTTTCTATGTAGGTGCTTGCTACTTTTATTCTCCAGAGGCAATAGATGATTGCACTCTCACTGTCCAAATACAACATTTAGCATCCTGTCACTCTTAGCTATTATTAAAGCAATAGTCAAATATCAATATTTAATCCAGTAATATCACTGGAAGAAGTTTCAGTACCTTCCACTTCATTCTATTCAATGGGACACCCTTGGATATATGTATATATGTACTGTATCATATGTGTGTGTGTGTATAAATAAAACAATATCTGTAAGATTGCAACTTAAGGCTGTATTAAAACAAGCTTTGCTTGACCCGATAGTAGTGGTTATTATTATCATCATATTATCATCATTGAGGATGTTGGATTTCAGGTTGTTTGTTTTCTTTCCTCACCTGTCACCACAATTCTGTTTGAAATTTTGGCTGTTTCCCTGCAATTCCTCAGAGCAAACCTGTCCTATTTGGTCCCACATCTATAACAGAGAGAAGTGAAGAGAAATTTTCTTGATTCCTGAATCATACATCATAGCAAAAAAAGTGTGTTGGGGGAAAGTGAAGAGTATGAGAGGAAATTTAACCTTATAAGACAATGTTTTTCAACCTTGGCAACTTTAAGATGTGTGGACTTCAACTCCCAGAAATCCCCAGCCAGCATGCTTGCCAAGATTGAAAAAAACACTGTTGTAAGAGAAAGGGCAAAGTTGCATATGCAGTGAAGAAAAGGGATTAGGAGGCAGGAGAAATCTCAAAGGGAGAAATCTAAAACAAAGAAAATGTGCCCTGTATGGTATGCTCCATTTTGGAACTGTACAGAATAGAATGCTCTATTTTCTTCCATTGGCTGAATGGGAACCAGGCCTACAGAACTTGTAAGCCAACCAACTATGTGTGCAGGGGCCTCAGCTTGAGACTACAACATCAGCTGTCAAATTCATTCCAGACATCAGTAAGAGCTGCACTCAGAAGAGGAGATCACAAGTGGTACAGATTTGTTCCAAAGCAGGATTTTGTCAAAGCACCAGAGAGAGTAACTCTCAAGAAAGTCAAAAATATCTACTGCAATTATTCTGTTGGGGGATCCCGGGGAAAGAGACATTGTAATTTATTACAGGAGAAATAAAATGCAATCGTGAAAGACAGGTAAACAGGAATCTTGTGCTGACAGCAGTCTGGGGAGAACCATGGAGAGGAAAATCAATCAATGGGGGAAAACACAAGTACAGTAAAAGAACAGTAAATTGAGGGATTCAAAATGGCAGTAAAGCATCTTAAAAGAGACTTCTCCAGAAAGAACAGGGAAGTGTGGGAGCACCTTGTGTTATGTGAATTATTAAGGAAAGAGAGCGTGAGAGGGCATGGGTGAATGGATTTGCTTTGGGGGGTACCCTATAATAATCAAATGGCGGTGATGACGAGACAATCCAAAAGTTAAACTTTGGTTAACTTTCTTGGGCGTTAAGAACTGAAGACCAGAGAGGAAAAAACAGCTGTTTTTGGCTACCCGTAAAAATCCCTTTTTGAGGGAGTCCAGGCCCCTCCTGGAAGTCCTGAGGGATGAGGATTATTCGGGAGGGGGGTCTAGAGAGAGAACTTTCTTTTCCCAGGGAGGTGTGAATAATCCAGATTCAGAAAATGGGTCGTTTTCATCTGATTTCGCTGGAAGGCTCCCCTCAGGAGGCCAAAAGAAGGTGGTGGGAAGGCGGGGTGGGGCGGCGGCAAATGGATGCCAGGATCAGGTGCAAGACAGAAAGGGAAACCAGCTGAAGGAGACGACGCCGGGGGAGGATGCCCGCGAGGTGGACCTCAGGTGATTTCTCTACGGGGGGCATCAAGAGATGCTATCCGGGATCCAGCCAAGGGATCCAGTTTGCACACCACTTCAAGCCCTTGTCATATTTGACCGGCATGGGCTGAACCCACCGAGGCTTGTAAACCACGATGGGGGTGTCATGTGCACCCAGACCACCATGGCTTATTCCAGAAACCTGGCTTGGCCACCCAGGGCTGCAAACCATCCAGGGAGGCTTCGCCTGAATTAGAAAAGAGGGTCAGAAAGGGTTTGGACGAAGGAGTAATTTGTGCATCTTTTTTGTGCGGGGGGAGAGGAAAGGAGAGGAGCAAGTGATGAGGAAGATCTGGATGTACCCCCCCTCCCAGCTCATAACGAAAATGGCAATAGGGGGGGCATTCATGAAGGGAGGCGAGCAGCTGAGCGGATCCC